TTCATGCCGTTGGTCACCTGCGTCACGGAGTCGAAGCATTCTTGCAACATCCTGTAGTCCATCTCGAGGGGCTGGCTCTTGTCGTCCTTGTCTACCAGCGCGGGCTGCTTCGCGGTCGAGGCCTTCTTCTGCACGTCCTTGAGCCAGAGGTGCTTCAGGCCCTTCGTCGACTCCATCATGTCGGCGAGGGCGGACATGAACTGCTTGTCGTCGCCCACGTCAAACTGTTTCTTGCCCTTGGCGGTCTTGGACGTCTTGTCCGACATAGTCAAGGTCTTGGACGTAGAGTAGTAGAGCCCGTCTTCCTCCCAAATCTCATTGTCATCGAGTGCCGCCTGGAACAGCTCTTTGCTGGCTCCGAACTTCGAGCCGATCATGACGTTCTTCGTGAGGCCCTGCTTCTGCTGCTCGTTGTTCCTCTCGACCGTGCGGGCCGTGATGTGCTCGAGCGTGCGCTCCTTCGGTGTGAGCTTGCTCGTGTAGGTAGCATCGCGGCTGACGTACGCGTTCACGATCTTGGCCCGCTCTTTCATCTTCCCAGGGTGAACGCAGTCCTTCCGGCCAAGCGTCAGGTAAAACGCCTTGTCGGCCTCGGCGACCTGGTCCAGGTTCGCCTCGAACACGTACCTCTGGGCCCGAGAGGTCTGGCGGGTGTCCGCATCCCCGTCCTCGAGGTCCTCCGCGTCGGAGCCCTCGTTCGTGGACTTGACCGCCTTCGCCGCGGGGACCAGCTGCTCTTCGTGCCAAGTGGCGGCCGCGGGCCTTTTCGCCGCCGTCTGCGCAGCAGCAGGCTTGCCGGCCAGTGGGGCCGCCTTAGCCTTCGTTTTCGGCTTCGCCTTCCCCTTGGCGACCGCCATCGCCAGCGAGACGGCTCGCAAAGAAGGCCGAACGTCGATGGAGTCGCTCTCGAATCTTGCTTGATCCAAAGCAACTATGGCGACGTGGAAGAAGAAGGCGGGGGGAGGGGCGGGAATCGGGGAAGGTTTACGTCGGCCCTCCCCCTCCCCCGAGATTCTCTGGGGCCCCCCCGACGCCGCGCCGCGAACGACTTGCGCCGCAAAGAATGCACCACATTGATTGCACCACCTTTGCTTGCACCACGTGGATTGCACCACGTAGATCGCACCGCATAGATTGCACAACATAGCTCACCCCACATAGCTTACACCACATAGATTGCGCCACGTAGATGGCTCCACATAGATTGCACCACATAGCTCGCCCCACATAGATTGCGCCACATAGATTGTGCCACGCAAATGGCGCCGCATAGCTTACACCACATAGCTTACACCGCATAGATTGCCCCACGTAGGTTGCGTTTCGGAGGTTGTACTTGCACCGCATTGGTTGCACCACGTAGATTGCACCACGTAGATTTTGTTTTGAAGCTTTTCTGTCGGGTGCGTTGCCGTACTATTCTTGGTGCAGTCGGCCGTGCTGCTCCCACATCGCGCCACCCCAGGCGCTAGCGCATGATGACAGCCGAGCTTGGACATGCAGAATGTTTCTCCTCCTCCTCCTCCTCCTCCTCCTCCTCCTCCCGTCATTCTACACGATTCCCCACTGGAAGGAGTCTCTCATTTCCAAACACATCGGCTTGGTCATGTTGCCGTCCTTGATCTTCTCGTATATTTTTCTCATGTCAGTCTCGAGGTTCGGCCCGTAGATCTTAACCCGCGCCGTCCATATGCACACCTTCTTCATGGAACCGTCCTCCTGGGGCTGATGGGCGACGAGCTCGCACCGCGAGTTGGCCTCTTTCGTGGGGCCACTCATGCTTGGACGGCACAGGAAGACGCTCTTATCTGGAGTCACGGCGAGCCCGCGCCTCGCGGCCTTCATCGGGGGGGTCGCCTTGGCACCGGATGCGTCGACCTTGCCCTTGCCCTTGCCCTGCGCCTTGCCCTTGCCCTGCGCCTTGCCCTTGCCCTGCGCCTTGCTCTTGGGCCTGGCGCCAACGGCGTTCTGCTTGCGGCGCTTCGGCTTGGGGTCCAGGACGCAATCTTCATCCTCTGAGCTCCTGTCCTCATCCTCGCTTCCGTCATCACCTCCATGTCCCGAAGTCTGTCGGACAGGCGTCCGAAGGCTGACGAATGAGGGGAACCCGTGCTCGTCGTAGACGGCTGTGCTCGCCAGCGAGGGCGCGGGACCAGACAAGTTGGACTCAGCGCTCCGATTGCTGATCAGAGCCAGGATGGACGCGGATTTCTTGAAGATCGTCGGGTAGCCATCCTCGTCCACGTCACTGGCGCTGGGTAACTGCAGCGTCGGAATGTGGACCCCGTGGTGACCGCCAGCCTCCTGGGCGCCACCGTCGTCCAAAAGGGGCGGGACAGGCGGGTCCTCGGCTACGGAGTCGTCGCTCATCTTCTCCAGCAGCCCCTTGATGATGATAACGTCTGCCGAATTGCAGTTTCGCCTGAAGGCGCCCGTCTTGCTCCTCTTGCTGGCTGCAGCACCGGGCTTCTCCTCCCTCTTCATCTCCCTCAACATGGCCAGCGAGTGGCGCAAGTGCTCAGTGGCCTTGTGTATGAATGCGGCCGCATTGTACTCCTTCGGGAACTGCGGGCAAGTCGCCCTGAGGCACGCCTCAAATCTCACGGGATAGATGACGCCGTTCTTGGCGCCCCTCTTGATGAGAGCCTCGATCAACGGGCACAAACGGACGACCATGTTCGGACTGACCGTGTGCAAAGCGGTCGCCAGGCGAGGGCCCAGCAGATGGTGAAGAGCCGTGTTCTTCACGAACTCCTCGATACACTCCGTGTAGTCGCGATCCGAGACCTCAGGGTTCGCCACGGCCCTGTCCCTCTTCAAGCCCGCCATGGCGGTCGAGTTGAAACCAAGCGTCAAGGTGAAGAACAACAAATCACGCCTCGAACTTGAGCCAAATTGGCTACGGAGGGGGAGGTGAGGACGGACGAGGGGGAGGCTTGCCCACCAGCCCAACCAATCAGCCAACCAACCCAATCAATCCGCGGGCCCGCGTGGGACACGAGGCTTATGCGATTCTTCCCAAGGCCCCATCGGGCCCTACAGGAACCCCAATACAGTCGTGGCACGGCCAGAGGGAACGCTAAATAAGGAACGAAGCCACTTTTTTCCCCTGGGAACGAATATGCAAATCCAAAGGACGAGTTTGACAACCTAAGGAACGACCGAGCCCCTTCCGACCTCGAAGTGGGCCTTATTTCAATAGCTTGACTGTAGCCCATAATAGCCCTGGCCGAAAACATGAAAGAAACAAACAAACAAAAACACAGACGCCCTGGCCCTCCCTCACCTACCCTCCTCCTCCTCCATATCCTCTTCCTCCTCCTCTTCCTCCTCATCCTCAGGGGGTGGCACGCGCCGCTTGGCCTGCGTCCTGAATATGATCACGTAATACGCGGGGGGAGGGGCGGGCGCGGGCGGCGGCGGGCGGCGACGACGACGACGACGAGGCGTCACGGCCGCCACCCAGCGAACGACGACGACGACGACGACGAAGCGTCACGGCCGCCACCCAGCGAACGACGACGACGACGAGGCGTCACGGCCGCCACCCAGCTAACGAGGACGACGACGACGACAACGAGGCGTCACGGCCGCCACCCAGCGAACGAGGACAGCAAGGGCGATGACGACGCTGGTAATGATGGTGTCAATGATGAGGAGGAGGAGGATGACGCCCTGGTCTCATTTTCAAAATCTAGCTCTCGCGTGCTCTGGGTATCCCAAGATTCCCAAGACTGCAGCTCCCCCTCGACTCCCAAGGAGCCGCGGGAAGCACCCAAACACCCTAACCGCCCCTTTCGGCGCACCCCTCACGCGGATCGTCGGCCTCGGGGCAGTCGTCGTCGTGGAAGGAGCGCGAGTAGGAAGAGGATGGGGATTGGGAGGAGGTGAGTGAGAAGTAACTGATTCCCAAGACAGTTGTAGATTTTAAAAATCTACTAGTAGATTTCAAAATCTACCAAAAATCTACCAAACCAATCTGTGGGCAATTACCCCTAGATTCTGTGGGCAAATACCCTTAGATTTCCTTAAGTTCTGCGGGCGTTTACCCTTAACTTTCATGATGTTGACCGGCAGATCCGTAACTTTAACTTAACCTTAGTTTTCTGAGGGCAACGGATGCTCAGGGCTGGCGCTGCCCTTGGCCCCCCCCCTTCGCCCCCACCACCGCCGCTTTCCGTGTCCGTCACCCTTCAGGCCCGCCGTCGCACCTTCCGCCTCCGCCTCGCTCCTCTCCCCCTTCCTCTTCGCCTGGGGTACTCTTCCCCCCCCCTTCATCCACACCGGCACCCCTTTCCCTCCCCATTCCCCTTAAAGCCCGTCTCCTTTTCCGCCTCCGCCCCGTTCCTCCGCCCTTCCCCCCCGCCGCCTTTCCTCCCCACCTCGGGTCGGACGGACGGAGGGGCAGAAAAAGCATGGTGTTTGCGAACCCGCTCGCGCAACTGGGTCCCCCCGCGCATCCAAGCGCGCCAGAGACGCCAAATCACGCAGGAAAGCGCCCGGCGGCAGGGCCGAAACCAGATGCACACAGAAGATGCCGTGACCGACCCGATTCGTCCGACCCTAATTACCCCTCCCCCTCGACACCCCATGCTTGGGCCCCCGACAGTATGATCTGCTCAGATGGGACCCCCGGAAGTCTCTACCCATGCACCTGCACCGCTGGTTCATCCCGACTTGTATGGCCGCCCCCGAAAAATGAATACCCCCTGGTTACAAGGGCGCGCGCATCTCAGACCTAGCTTTAGGTCGAGCATGTCCTCCTACAAGCGGATTGCGGAAGAAAAGCAGCACATAATCAACACATGTTCAAAAGTCGTGAGAAAAAACAACAGGGAATCGTCCCCAGACTGCTTGCTTCCCTTCTCGAGTACTCCTCCTGCAGGAGGGACATGCCCGACCCACACCTGGCTTGCGCCCCGCTCCCCGACACATTGCGGCGCGCAGAGTGGCGGAGGCCGCGAAGGCGAGCCGACCCCCCTTAGGGGGGCGGGGCGCGCCTTGCCGGCCGGGGAGCACCCGCCCTCGACGACCTTCTTCGCCCTCTTGCCTCGGAGGAGTGTCGGGAGCGGCCAAGAGGGGGGTGTCCAAGAGGGGGGTGCAAATCATGACCGGCGGCATGTGCGCGGCCCAGCGGGGGGGCCAGGGACGTAATGAAATAAGAAGAGGCGCCACGAGATCTGGGGAAATATCATGGCCCCCGCCATGATATCCACCCCCCCCTAGTCATCACCCCCCTGTTTTCCGCCCCCGAGAGTGGGGAAGGGAAGGCGAAGACCGGGGCGGACGACAAGGGGGGGATTAGCCAGGGGGGCGGGGCAGCGAACCGGCCCAGGCAGCTGACGTATACGCTCGCTTCTCGGGCGCACCCGGGCGCGCAGAGGCGCCGCTGTTCTCAAAGGAAGCGCCAGGCGGCGAGCCGAACACGGCAGCGCCGCCCTGCCCCGGGGGGAGGAATACAGACAGCTCCCCCGGGCAGTCCCGGCTGGCCTCAAGAGGCCCCCGAGGGGTCCCAGCTGGCCTTCACACGCTCCCCGAGTCACCCAGGGCGGCTTCAACACCCCGAGGGGTCGCCGCGGAGGCGGCGCCAGGGTGTCGCGACCGCCCCGGGCTGCTCGTGGGACCTGCTGAGGCCAGCTGGCACCACTCGGGGGGCCTGTTGAGGCCAGCTGAGGGAGGTCGTCTGTGCGCCGCCCGAAGCCTCACCAAGATAGCCAAAGGGGCGGGGGCGTAGCAAATCAGCTCAAGCATAGCCAGCTTCCCTGGCGCACCCGGACGCCGCAGGCGCCACTCCCTCGAGGAAAGCGGCCGGCGGCGGGGCCGCAACCAGCTGCACGCAGCAGGTTTCGCAATAACACATTCCCATGCATATCCACATCTACACACATATATATATATATATATATATATATATATATATATATGTATATATATATATATATATAGCTATATATATATATATATATATATGTACACGGATCAGATCCCTGCCTTTCGTTCGCCACGGGAGGAAGAGGAGCACCACGAGACCTATGCAGGCTAGCGATGGCATTGCTGAATATTGTGAGACCCGGGCTTGGGAGCTGCACCGACTGAAAGCTGGAAGACGTCGGGCGATCAGCTCTTCGGGGTGGCCACGAGTGAGGCGGGGGTGGAGCGCAGGTATTTGGAGGAGGAGGAGGAGGAGGAGGAGGAGAAGGAGGAGGAGGAGGAGGAGGGCCCGCGCAGAAAAGGGAGGAGGAGGGAGGAGGGAAGGGAAGGGGGTGAGGATGAGCAGGACGGAGTCCCGCCAGCCCTCTGGGTGCAGGTGGTCTAGGGCGCTTCCTTGTCACACCTTCTTTCTTCCCCTACTCGGGGAGGCTTACCCCTCCCCCTCCCTGGGCCTGGACAAGGGTGGGCGCGAAGGGTTGGAAAGTCCTGGATGGCCCAAGAGGGTTCCGAGAGCGCCCCACACAACCAATCATGGCCTCCAGGATGGCTCCGGATAACCGAACACGGCTCGAGACAGCCTCCGACATACCTCCAAGAGTCCCAGGACGGCCCAAAGACGGTTTCAAGGATCCCCCCAAGAGCCCAACCTCGTATCAACACCTTGGGCGAACCATAGTGGTTTGCCTTCTCGATTTTCGCCTCCGATGTGTCTGTGCCTCAAATCTCGTGCTTCGCGTAAAGATTACCATCGTGGCCCGAGAGAGCCTCAAGAGTAGTCCAAGAAGGTTCCCAGATGGCCCATACAGCGCCCAAGAGCTCCCCAAGAGGGGGCCAAGCCAATAGGCGGTCCCGAGGGCTCTGCAAGCGGGGGCGCTGCTTTCAGACGCAATCTTCTCCCCGCGAAAGCGCCGCAGATCCTCCAAAACTCAACAAGAGAGCTTCAGGAGGACCCTGAGGGCCCCAAGAGGGCCAGGACGGCCTCCCAAACTGGTCCATGATGGCCTCCGGATGTCTCCAGAAATGCCTCCAGATGGCTCGCGGGGCAAAGGATCCGCGAACACCTGGCACGGCTCACCTCGGGGGGGGCGTCTTGGGATGCCCGGCGCGCCTGTCGTCGGACAGTTTGGACATCCATGTCCCAATCGATTGCGCGAGCCCTTCGACATGAAGGCTGCTCACGGTTTGATGGTTTCCTGAGCACTTCGTTCCTCAGCATTCCCCCTTCTCCCCAAATTGTCCTGATCAAGACACTCGCACGGGCATCGTTTCAGGATTGGCAGGTGGGGTTGCGCGAAGCGACAATGATAACAGGAAGGAGGAGTAGGAGGGGGAGGGAGGTGAATAGATGAAGTGGGAGGAGGAGAGGAGCGCTCCTGATGGGGCTATACCCTTCCTCGCCGACGAGCAGCAGCCGCCCACAGACGTCCTGGAGAGCACACCATGAGCGCGAGCGGACCTCCTGGTGATCTCTCTGGCGCGAGCTCGGGTCATGCTCTCGACTCCCTCTGGGCCCTGGCTGTCTTGTACAGGGAAGGTGCTGTGAACAGACCCCAATCATGCGCGAAAATGGGCCGCGAGAAATCACACTGAGGATAAAAGGCCGGGAGGAGGCAGACAAGACGACACATGAGAGGGACAACGAGGGGCAACAGGAGGATGATGCAGGCGGCAGGAGGCAGCAGAAGCAGGTGGGACGGAGACAGGGGGGGGAATGAGGAGGAGCGGCAGCAACAACAACATGGGATAGAGTATGCGGAGTCAATCAGGAACATTGAGGAGGGTGAGGACGGTCTACGGACATCCGCAAATGGGGACGTCGACGCCAACAGCCTGGCAAAGATGTCCGACCATCTCAGAGAAGATGCTGCTGGAGATGGACAAGATGTCGGGAATACTCGGCCAGCAGCACGCGACAAGGGCTCGGTTCAAATTTCAGCTCGCGCCTGATCTTACACTGCCATGTGCGGGATAATCTTCTGATCGACTCCTCGACCCCGACAAAAGATGAGAGTGCACCCGGAGGAGGCCCCTGCTTGCCTACCATAGCTCGGCAATCGACACTGGCATCTCGCTCCGTGGACGGGGTCGCCTACAGTGCTCGGCCGGGTCAGCATGCGCATGGCCATAGCGACTGCCAGCGTCACGGCGAAGATGGTGATCTCTACGTTCACCGATGCCCACAGTTCGCTCGCGAAGTCCGCCGCCTCGGGCTCCCCTGACTCGGGGATGGACAGACCTCCCTTTAGTAAAACGTGGTTTAGTGAAAACGACCTGAGGCCCAAACCTGGCGGGCGCAAGCCTGGAAAATAACGGCCGCGGCGCCCTCTCGAGAACCGAAAACGGACAATTCACTAATCGACGTGTCACTGTTGGGGGTTCTGTCCGCCCCCGACTGACTGACTCACAGAGGACATCGACTGGGAGGGGCAACTCGTGAAGAACCCCTCGTCTCGCCCTTTCTCATGCTCAGCATCTCCGCCCCTCCCCTTCCACCTCAGCCTCCTCCACCCTCCCTCTCCAACGTGGGCCACGGACCATGCACTGAGCTCGCAGGCCTCAGGCCCGCCGAGACTGAGCCACGGGCTGCGCGCAAGCTGTCCCTGGAGCCGAAGAGAAGCACTTCGAGTGGGTGGGGGCTGGCCATCGCTCGGACGTCCATTCCCTGTGTTTTTTATCGGTTTCGTGCGTGGCTTTTTCGCCAAATGATCAAGGATGCTCCTCGATGGTCATCGCCGAGAAAAAAATGCACAGGTCCGAGCGATGCCAGGGGGGAGCCCCCCGAGCGAAGGCCCTCCGGGGCTGACGAGGAAGGACAGAGCAGGCCACTGGCGACCCGAGAGGTGCGCCCGCGCGGGGCTACACGCAGAGCAATCTGTTGAACGTGCTGAACGTGTGACGCTCTCCTGGAAATGAACCTTCCTGCGACCCAGCTGGGGGACCCGACGAAGAGGTGCAGGGGGGGAAGGGGAGACATAGGACAGATCCCGCCCGCTGGCGTGATGACTTGCTGCGCAAAGTGTCCCCCCGGAGATCTGGACACCTTCCGTCAGAGCGCTTGTTCATGCCAAATCGTTTCGTCACTGTCATGGGGCTGGCCCCACCCGCTTCCTAGCGCGCTCCACGCGCCAGGCACGTCGCCGGAGGCGCCGCCAGGGGGTCCAACGCCGATCCAAGAAATCCGCGCGGAAGTGAGAGGGCGAGGAAGATGACCAGGAGGAGGAGAAGGAGGAACAGGAGGACGACGACGGAGACAACTGCGAGGGTAAGGGCCGCACAAGAGCAAGACGATGAGGATGACTCGGAGGAAGCGCGAGCAGTATTTGGAGCCACCCTAAATCTAAAATCGTTGTATGGGTATCCGCTGTATTGTTGCTTGCTTGCAAGTGGCCGAAATCCTGCGCACGCGTAAGGATATCATAGATGCGTGCGTAGATGCTGGCCAACTCTGCAATTCGGTTTCTGCCGCTGCTTCCTGATGTTGATTGAAGGCCCATGTCGACCCGTCGATTCTTCCGAATACTGCTAAATGCTTTGCCAAAGAAAAGGACCCGATAATCGGCCTTCCTTCAACAGCACTGGACTGTCAAAAGACGCTCCTGATGCTCACGTGCTCCTTTCGGCGGCGAGCCCGAGGGGAAGCGAGAAGCGCCGTGCCTTCTCAGAAGGCTCGGAAGTCCACTGGCCTCATGAACAATTTTCTAAGCCTTCCCTGAAGACACCGAAAACCTCTGGGCCGGATAGCTTCTGAGAAGTCCCGCCTCGTTCTGAGAAAGTCTCCTCCTGCGCTCGTCGCCGATCCTTCCCCATCCTCGGGAGGAGGAGGGGGAGGGAGAGGAGGAGGAGGAGGCGGAGGAGAAGGAAGAGGAGGGGGAGGAGGGTGGGGAGGAGGAAAGATGCCGCCCGGCCTCCTCCTCCTCCTCCTCCTCCTCCTCCTCACCCTCATCCTCGCGGTGCCGGCGCCCCCTCGGCACCGTGACTGCCGTGGCCGTCGACATACCTGCGGCAGCGGATCAACAACTGGTAGTATACCTGGGGTATCCCTTCAGCGCACTTCCAATGGGGACTCCACTAACGGGCACTCTGATCAATGACCCAGGGAACCCAGCCCTCCCCGATGTGGGCAACGCTGGACTGCCAGAACGCAACCCTAAAGCGGCAACCCTCGCCCAATCTCCAGAGTACCCGTTGGTGAGTACCCGCTACGGTGCCGCTGACCCGTGCTGGCCGCTGCTGGCCCGGCGGAGGAAGAGGAACTGCTGGCGGTGATCACGGCCGCACTTGGGACGCACGATGACATACTTAATACTATGTCTCCCCCTCGGAGGAGCGCGTCCGACCCGAACATCATACGGTACATCCGTCTTGCCGCATACCGTTTCCCGGGCGGTACGGCCAGAGAACGCCCGCCACGGAGCACATACTACATGATTCCTCGGGTCGCGCGTCGCCCCCCCCGGGGGCGACGCACACGGAGGATGAGCTATCAGCCTGCTGGGGTGACGCCGAACTCTCGGATTCCGCCCCCGACTGCAACGCCCAACCATTTTGGCCACCGCTCGGAGGAGGAGGAGGAGCAGGAGGAGGAGGAGGAGGAGGAGGAGGAGCAGGAGGAGCAGGAGGAGCAGGAGCAGGAGGAGCAGGAGGAGGAGGAGGAGGAGAAGGAGGAGTGCAACGGCCCAACTGTAGCCGGGGGCCTCGGCCCCACTGCACCGGTGCGCTCGCGAGGGCTTCAGTATACTTCGCCTGCGCGTGCCGGCCCTGCACTTCTATGCACGCGCAAGGGCACGCAAGGGGGCAGAGGGAGAGGAGGGAGGGGACGTGCCCAGGGAGGAGGGAGGGGAGCAGGGGGAGCAGGGAGGGGGCCAGCCCTGTCAGCGGGACGAATCAATATTGGCTGTGAGCCCCCTGGAAAGACGCCAAGCAGAGCAACGCCCCTCTCCATGATATCCGCCCCTGCGCCTGTGGCAGCAGAGGAGGGCGTAGGCGGGGCGAGGGCAGGACGGAGGATGGAGGAAAGAGGGGGGCACAGGAAGGAGAACAGACGAAGAAGACGAGTGACACATTGAAGCAGCAACAACAGAGGCGAAAGGAATACACATCTGAATAAGACGAAGGATGATGAAAGGGTGGCTCTGGATACGTGTGAGAGAGCGAGGAAGGATAGGCATTGGAGAAACAATCAGTGGGGGACAGATGATCAGGAAGAGGGCGAGGGGAAATAAGGAGACGCGTGTAATGATTTATGAGAGTGGGCACGACGATGGAAGGACGAGGAAGTGTTTGGATGCAGAAGGGAGCAGAGCAGGAAAGAGGATGTATGGAGAATGACGGAACCTGACAGCGCGCTGCGAATCATCACGACGGGATGTGTTTTTGTTTGTGTACTGATGTTCGACGTCCAGGGGTCCTCACCAGGCCCTCGGACCATCAGGGAACTACTCGGGACGAACCATCAGTCTCGGGGAAAGAGCCCAGACCTCTGAAGAGCCACCCTGTCTGTGACATTTTCATCGCGACGCCTGCTGCCTGGAGAGGGAGACAGAGGAGCATGTGGAGGTAGGCATTACAAGAAAGCACGGCATCACCATGAAATGTCGGACCTACGCGCGGGATCTCTTGGACATGCGCTGGACCCCCCTCCCTGGCTCGCGGAGCGCGCCAGAGGCGACGCCAGAGGCGCCGCCAGGGGGCCCCAACGCCGATCCAAGAAATCCGCGCGGAGCTCCGGAAGCTTATGCTCATGCAGTTGCTCTTCGAGGGAGGGGTGATTCGACTGCTGACTGCATGCTGCGGCGCAAAGGGCACGTAGTGGTAAAAAGAAGCTGCACAAAGCCGCTGGGCCCCCGCCAAGGCGGGGGCCCCACCCTCGCGCGCCAGCGGGCCCCGGGCGATGTAGCACGACTTGTGCGAGCGGCAATGTCTCCCTCCCTCCCCCGGCGATCCTCCCCCCCTCCCCTCCTATCCCCTGTCTCACACCTCTTCAACCTCGTCCTCCCCATCCGCTGCTAACTGGTACCGTAGGAGCGCTGAGAAGATGACTGACCGCGCGCGGGGAGCGGCACGGAACCGGTCACTTCTCAGAGCATGCCCGAAACTGCGCGCCCTCAGGGAAGTGTGAGCTGTGTGCGGCGCTGGAGGGGAGAAGAGGTACGGGGAGGGAGGAGTGCGGGGACATTGCGGGGGGGGATGGAGGTGAGGGGGGAGCAGTGGGGGGGAATGGGGAGGCAGCAGGGGGAGGAATGCGGGGGCGGGGGGAAGCAGGTGGGGCACGGGAGAGGGAGTAGCACCTGCGAGCCACTTACTTCTCCCAGTTTCGCCACGTTGGGCAACCCCACCTATGAGCCCCGGTCCTTCCTCTCCGCCCCACTCTCTGCCCACACTGACCCGTCGGTCGGAGGAAGTGGGTAGAAAAATGAAGCAGGAAGGCGTTGAAGTAAATTGGTCCTGCGCCAACCCCCTGAAGAGGAGGGAAGTCAAGTAGGAAGGCGCCGAAAAAAGATGGGGATCTGGGCATCCAGAAGTACCTACTTCCAACGACCGCCGTGTGCTCATTATGAATATTACATCCCACTCCGCTGACAACGTTCAGAATTTTAGTCCGCAAATCCCGCGTACAGGTGCTTCAAGCACACAGGCTCTCAACATGTAGTTGGGACGCTTTCGGCCCTTCAAATTGCGCTTCCGCTGCAGCGACGGCGCAACTGTATGATCGGTGCATGGCGCCCGTCGTCCTAAGTGGATGGCGTTCCCACTCCAATGCGGGCCACCTCCCTGCATCCGATTCCTTCCTGGCCGTTGCCATGCGCATCCGTTGCTCTCCTCCGCTTCCGCCTACCCGTCATCATCGTCGTCCTCCTCCTCCCTCCTCGCTCTCATACTTCTCCTCCTCCCTCCCTCCCTCCCTCCTCCCTCCTCCCACCTCACCCTACTCCTTCTCCTCCTCCTCCTCCTCCTCCTCCCCCTCCTCCTCCCCATCATCATCATCATCATCATCATCATCATCATCATCATCATCATCATCATCATCATCATCATCATCATCATCATCATCATCATCATCAGCAGCAGCATCATCATCATCGTCATCATCATCATCATCATCATCATCATCATCATCATCATCATCATCATCATCATCATCATCATCATCATCATCATCATCATCATCATCATCATCATCATCATCATCATCATCATCATCATCATCATCATCATCATCAGCATCATCATCATCATCATAATCATCAGCATCATCAGCATCATCACTATCATCATCAGCATCACCAGCATCATCATCCTGATCCTCATCCTCATCCTCATCATCATCAGCATCACCAACCTCGGCCTCATCTTCATCCTCATCATCATCCTCATCATCATCACCATTATCATCAGCATCATCATAAGCATCGTCAGCATCATCATCATCATCATCACCATCACCATCACCATCACCATCACCAACATCATCATCATCATCATCATCATCATCATCATAATCATCATCATCATCATCCTCATCATCATCATCCTCATCATCATCATCATCATCAGTATCATCATCATCAGCATCATCATCATCGTCATCATCAGCATCATCATCACGATATCGTACTTATCCGCCTCCTCCTCCTCCTTCTGCTGCTCCTCCTCCTCCTCCTCCTCCTCCTTCTCTTACTTCCCCTGCCCCCTCTCCAGCGTGTAAAGGGCCGCCATCCATGAGCCAAGTCCTGCGACTGCCACTGGGAGATCAGGATCTTCTACGATCCCAGAACAGCGTACACGAGGACAAGGAATATCCAACGCAATGAGACAAGACGAGTGGGACGGGGGGCAGATTGTCAGATGTGGTGCGAGCGCGCCCAACTTGCCCTGTCGCCTTCGTTTCCCTCCCCCCCCCTGTGGAGGCGGCCCGAGGGTCTGAACGGGTTGCGACCCGAGAAAAGCGGTCAAGAAGGGGGGGTGAAACCAAATCCGCTTGAAATCGGTTCCCAGGCCCCTCTCGGGGTCCATCTGGTACAGTCTGTCACCCTGGATCTGTTTTTGACGGTAGAACGGCCCCCCTGGGGACCGAAAGTGACCAAAAACCATTCAAATCCAGCGCCTCGCACCTGCCCGCCCTTCCTGCTGCCTGGAACCAGTGCTAGGGCCGAACCCACCTCAGAACCCCAGACGGTCAAACCCTCCCTCCCATCTCTTCCCCGCCCCCCTTCTCTTCACCCTCCCTTCGTCTGCATATCTCCTCCCCCATTGCCCCCTCACAGCAATTTGAAGAGCAACGTTAGAGAGGGACCGGCCAAGAGGGAGAAGCATCGAGCTAGAATCGGCAATGCCTCGCCGATTGATCAGCGATAGGCCCCCGCTAGCAAATCCGCACGTTCCTGGGTGGGGAGGGGCTACCCGGGCTCCTCTCAACGATCACTGGGCGATTGGGGGTGGATGCGCTCCCACGTGAGCCCATCCCCCCGAACGTTGCCCCTTGGCTTCTGGGCCATAGCTTTGCTCAAAGGCGGCCGTTCGGGCCAATCCAGGCACCCACGGAATGCTCTCGACGAGGCGCAGCCGCTGGAGAACGGATAGCGTCACGAGGCTGGAAAACCACCGGGAACCGACGAAAACGCCCCAAGAGAGCCAACCTCGAGCATGTTCCCCCCATGAAGCGATCCCCCTGGACAAGAATTACCTGAAGCAGGCGGGGCCGCGCTGGCGACAAGAACAACTGCCCGGGAGCAGTGCAAATCGTGGTAGACTGGTAGACCGGTGTCAGACCTTGGCCGCGCACGAGGAGGGGAGCAAGCTTCACTCAAGAGATCGGAACGGCGATCGGACTAGGCCTTGCTAAATGGGTGGCGAGAAATGCACCTGCCGTGTCCTTTTTGGGCCCCAGGGCGCCGCTTTAGGGCCCCATCTTGGGAACAAGCAATGTACCTTTCGTCACCAGACGGACGCATACTGTCTTGTCGCGGGGGCCTTCTCGAGCGCTGTCCAACAGCCTATGGCTGCCATAAAATTACACATGTTCAGAGACGCCTGCTAGACCCCCACCCACATGATCATCTCCCCCATCCCCATCCCCGTCCCACGTGACACCACGTTCCTTGGGGCGGGCACGGAAAGGACGAGGGCGAGGCTTGATCTGTCAGCAAACGGTTGACTCCAAAAGCTCATTGCTTCCCCTTCCGACCAGAATAGGCTCGAAACTGGTCCTCTGCGTGTAAGCCAGGTGTGCGAGCTGGGCTTCGCCTCGACGCTACGCACGTGCTCACCTACGCAATCCGACGACGCAGTCCCCCTGGAGACCCCTGGGGCAACTGGGAGCTCATGGATTGAGGGGGAACATCAGGGGGGGCCCAGCTCAGAGGGGGACACATCTACCAAGTCGGCGACGCATCGCCGATAGAACGGCGAGGTCCTCGATAGCAAAAACGCACGCTCCTGGCCACGATGCATGGGCGATCGGGGGACGATGCGTTCACCCCTGAGCCAATCCCGCCCCCAAACGCTGCTTGTTGGAGGCGACTGGGCGGCTCCCGAAAGGGCGCCGGGGGGTTTCTGGAGCCCCCTGGTGGAGACCTCCCCAATGGGCTGCCCCCAGAGAGGCCCCCCCGCGGACGCCGCAAGCCCCCTCCCCCCCACAAGGGGCTACCGCCTGGAGGATGGAGGCAGAGGCTAGTCAGGGGTGGTGGTGGTGTATATCGTTTCGGGCGCTCTCGCGGGACATCGTGCACACCAGCATCCCGCACTCGAGCTCGTCCTGAATCCCCCCAGGTGATGGTGGTGGGTGGTGCTGGTGGTGGTGATGCGCTTCCTGCTCCCAATAGAGGCGCCCTCCGAAACAATCCCGTGCCCCTCTGCGAGGCGCGTGCGTGCGATGCCCGTCTGAGTGCAGGGCGCCCTCAGCCCCCCGCCGGGAAGCGCCTCCGCCGCTCCCGGGGGCCACCCCTAGAGGCGCCCTCCGAAGTGCTCCCCAGCCCCTGCCCCTCTGGGAGGCGCGCGTGTGATACCCGTCTGAGTGCGGAGCGCCGGATGCCGGAGCAGCGCAGACCGTCTCGGGGGGCTCTCGGCGGTTCCTCAGATTGTTGCGCCCATTGAGTGCTCTCCGACGCCGTTTATGATCAGGCACTCGCACCAGTTCCGAACGGCGGAGTCGCGGCCGCAGCAGAGGAGAGATCTGTGTGGTTGATCGGCATTGTTTCTGCCACTTGCGCCTCCTACCTTCAGAGGTATGCGGGGGTTTGCCCGAACAACGGTGTGCATGACCATCTTGTTGGACGTCCCGCGCTCGCGAACCTACCCTATGTCCGCCATGCTGTGCGAGGTGGCGGCGGCGAACTTAGTGTCATGGTATTGTATGTGTCCCCAGCCCCTCCCCCGAAGAGCACAAACTTTCTTGGTCGAAGCGCTGGCGGGGGCGCAGCGCTGTGGGAGCGGCAAATCGGGCCACGGGATCGCAGCCTGAAAGCAATCGAACGAGCACACACACAACACACACACACACGTGTTACGTCGCAGCGCGGCAGAGGTAGAGCGCACGCGCGCTCAGCAAGCCGGGTGATACACACACACACACTCACACACACACACACACGCACACACACACACACCCACACACACACCCACACACACAGCTACGCACACGTACACACGCACACACGCATACATACACGCACACACGCACACACGCACACACATACACACGCACACACACGTGTTAGGTGACATACACACACACACGCGCGCACTTCCTCCGACCCGACGCGCTGAAGAGACCACCCAGCGGTATACGAGAAGGGACGGGCGCCCTCAGAGCCTCTTCCTGGAACCGCGGTGCGGTCTGAACCGCCCCCAGGGATGCAGCCCGACCCAGGACAGAAGAACCTCATGCAAGAACATGAGACCCTCCGCCTGCCAAACTGCAGTACACTCGAGGCTGCCCTCCCCCAGGATGCACGAGAACATCCAACAAACGCGAAGAACATTAGGGCACCCTCCCCGAACCGACCTCGGCCATGTACCTTGTCCGACTGTAGGGTGCAGAGGTGCCACCAAGGCAGAAAACAGGGCGATGCGAGAACGAGGGCGACAGGCAGAAGGACCACGGCCCGCACCCCACCCCCCGCGCACACCGCACACCCACACCCACACCCACACCCACACCCAGACCCACACCCACACCCACACACACCCACACTCACACCCACACCCACACCCACACCCACACCCACACTCACCCGCCCACCCACCCACGCACGCACGCCAGGGCGGGGATGTCACACAGCGAGGCGTCCTGCGGTGGCCACGTGTAGGCCATCCTCCACCCCCCACACGATTCTCAAAGGGAAGGTGGGGGTCACTGCGCTCGGGAGCTCCCGAACGATGCGACCACCCCCACTTAAGACATCCTGGGGGGAGGGGGAGGAGGAGGAGAGGAGGAGGAGGAGGAGGAGGAGGAAGAGGAGGAGGAGGAGGAGGAGGAGGAAGAGGAGGAGGACATCCTGGGGGGCGTGGGAGGCGATGGCTCACACGTGTGGCCACCGAGTCCTGGATGGCTGGGTGCCCGGCGGCGCCGCAGCCGCTGAGCCCTCTGCCTTAAAACGCTGGGTCAGCGCCGCAAGCTTGAGCCGGGCGGGCGGCGGCGAGAGGAGGCGAGGATGCGCCCGTTGTCCACCACCACCACCACCATAAGTTGGAGGGGGAGGGGGTCCTCCTCCTCCTCCTCCTCCTCCTCCTCTTCTTCGTCTTCCTCCTCCTCGTCCTCCTCCTCCTTCCCCCCTCCAACTTATGGTGGTGATGGAAAGCACGTCCATCAGGTGAGGGGGCAGGGGGCGAACAAAAAAAGGTACCGACACCGCCACTGCACAGACCCTTCCCACCAGGGCGCTGTCTACCCACCATTTCGGAGCGACCCTCAGGAGCTTGCCTCTCCAGGGGCAGTTCTGGTGGGCCCTTTGCACATGCGTATCTGCATGTCCAGAGCTCACGACTTGACCCCGTTAAGCCCCTGGACCACGAGCGGAGGAGAAGGCTTCACAATCGCAGCAGGAAGAGCGGGAGGCGGAATCCAAATGAGCACTGCACCCGGTCACGCCGTGACTCTGAAAGAATGTGGCCACATTGGCAATCTACCACCATGCACCCTGGCACGCTGAGGCGCGAGAGAATACCAAATTCTGCACGCCAGGGTTCCGGTACGGCTGGCTAGTGCCGTGGCAACTTCGGCGTGAGCTCGGGTCGCTCAACCTTCTACGATCGGCCGCTTTTCGATAGCCAGGTCGTTCTATTTATTTGGCTGCTTCTGCCTCTGGCGGCGTTCACCCCGCATCGTCAGCGGCGGGGACGCTGCCGCGTCGGCACTACACGATCCTGCCGTAAGTCTTCTGAGGCCCCCTGCTCTTGCCGCGTCCAGCCGCATGCACACCCCAGGACGGCCACCGAGGCCGACAGAGATGGCGCAGAAATGTCTCAAGGGGCACCGAACCAGCTTGCTCCAAGAACACCCCCGGATACGCCAAACGAGCCCCCCGAGAGGCTTCCAAGACACCGAAGAAGAACGGGAGGCCCGCCGAGAAGTCTGTGCCACGTACTTACAAGCCTGTGGAAACCATGAGGTGTTTGAATGCTCCACGTTTCCTGCGCCGCTCGGCATAACATGCTTCCCAAGGCGTCTTGGAGAAGCAAGGAGTAAACCACAAGAAAGAAGGCCCCAAGAAGCCCCCAGACAGCCCCGGCCCCATGAGGGCCCCAAGGCTGCCCACGAAAGGCCCAGGAAGGCCCAAGGATGGCCTGAAAGGGCCTCAAGAAAGCCCGAAGAGATTCGCCTGGACTGGACAAGCCACCACCAAAATGGCCGAATAACCCCCAAAGGAGCCCAGTACCGTGTTAAGTCGGCCCAGACAGCCCCCATCAGAACACACAGAGCAGGCCGCGAGCTTTACAATGTTTTCCGTCTTCGTTGGGGTTTCGTTTTCCCTCGGTCTGTCTATGTTCCGCCCTTGCTGCACAAGGAAATCTAAACGACAACGGTCCACGACTTCGCCAACACACCCTTTGGTTCGCGCCTTGCCTCAAAAGGTAGAAACCAGGGGTGTAACATGCTGCAGTCATCTGGGCTGTGCCCGAACGCTGCCACACAGAAAACTGCGCTGACACGGTGGGGGGCCTTACCAATATCCAGACTCGCCCTCTGCCTCCCCTCCCTCTCTCTCTCTCTCTCCCATTATGTATCACTCGCTCTCTCTTTGTCTTCTCTCTCTCTCTCTCTGTGCCGCTCTCCCCGTATCCATTGTGTCTGTTTCGTTCTCTCTCTGTCTATGCTTCTCTCCCTGTGTATATATATATGTATATGCACGTATCTATCATTATTTCATTCTATATATATATGTATATATATGTATATGTATATATGTATCCATATCTCTCTCTTCCCTCCCGCCTTTCCCAATTGTACACAAACGCGTATAGAACAGACACGATGGCAATTCTGATGGGGAGGAACCGCTGTCCGACCTTCCCGGATGTGCACCTTTCGCGGCCAACTTCCCTTACCATAGTAAGCACGGCATACGCATGCGGCAGATATGACCTCCACCGCCAGCGGAGCAAAGTTGAGAAAGAGAGATCAGACTGGTTGTTTCTTAAAGAAGAAACAAGGCTGCAACATGTCCGTGCCCAGTTTAACAAACAACATTCTAAACACACGGCCACGCGGTACCGCGTTGCACACGTGCGCGTTTCATCCCTGCAAGTCCAATCGCCTCAAAGTCCAGGTACCCAATTGGCTGCAATGTCTATTGCTTCCCTTCTACATCTGCGGCACGAGGCCAGCGACACGCTGGGTTGACGGTCGCTGCCCGACAGCAGCGGCGATCCCTATCTTTGAGGCGGTATCCTTTTCCGCCTATGCTGCAAAACAACATCATTTTTCTGCGCCCGACAAAACACCTTGGCGACACAACCCGAAGGGAGGTACCCAAGGTGCCTGCATGAATCCACATGCAGCCGGACCTCGCAACATGAACGGCGGCACAGAGCCGCCCCAGGGGTCCCATCTGCGCCGCCGTTGCGAAGCGCCTCGGTATGCCATCCCGAGACACGGCCACCGGGACCATCCCCACTTGGCCGCCAGCCTCAAGCAGCGGAGGCCCCGCTGCCCAAAGACTTCAGTTCCCGCACCCCCCACGCCAGGGTCCCCTTCGAGTAACCCCATCGGGCCCTTCAGGGGTGGTACGGCGGGCCCGCACCTACTGTTCTGGTCAACCACAGGGCAAGAATCTCTCCCACAGCCCCGTCGAGCTGTGGTGACGATCGGGCTTCCAACCCGCCTGTTTTCCTGGGGCGCCACGAGGGTACCCAGCGCCACAGGTGCCAAGACAAGATCAACACCAAAACTGTCCACAAGATCGCCAACACACCGTTTAGGTCGAGCCCTGGGGAGGGGGAGCCAGGAAAGAGGGGCGAGGTGGGAGGGAGGCGGGAGGGGGCGGAAGAGCATTCGCAAACAATTGGGGCTGCTTCGAGCGCCACTCAACCAGAACTGCTTTAAGATCATCTCGCGCGGACCATACTAGGCTCCTAGATTATTCGCTAGTGGCCCTGTAGGCAAACAGAGACGCTGCGCCACTGCAGCCCTGAAGGGGCCCTGGGGCACACAAATTAATACACACAAATAACAGGATTCCCCATGTTCCCATATTTTCTGGGTTTTTGTCTTCCCCCTCATTTCCCATATTTTCCTGGGGAATCGACGATGACTTGTGAAGCGCACGAAAAGCTCAGACGTCCGCGTGCCCAAGAAGACGCCTGACACGGTGCACCCGGTCATCTTGCTGCACTGGCAGGCGAGTCTGGGCTGCGCCAGGCTGCCCAAGGCGAGCACCACGGACTCCGTCGTGGCAGCGGTCCTCCCGGACGGCGCGGCCGTCGCCAGGGCCGCCGAGAGCTTGGAGGCTAACGCGGCCCACCCGCTGGTGAAGCAGCTGGTCAAGAAGCCGCAGAAGGAAAACAAGCTCAGGGTCGCACTCATGCTCTGGGCCGAGGATGCCGTCGAAGCGTGCGGCAACGACGATGACGAGGACGCCGACAATGAGTAGGGACAGCGCGGTGGTGTCCTGTCCTATCACAGATCGGAATCATCACTCGCAGACTTGGTATTTGTTCGTTGTACTGTGCTGTTTTGTACGCTGTATATTGTGTGGGAGCAATTGTGTGGGAGCCAGTTTGGAATGTCGTGTCGGAGAGCAGCGTCCTCGCGCTGCTCACGGGCGGTGCCTTGGGGACTGATGCACGCCTGAACGCCTTCGACGTGGCTGCGGTTCTCGCGTTTGCCTACTGCACCCGCTGGCAGACTCCGTGGGCCGGGGCTGCCGGTTTGGCAACAGCGGCAACGATGTACTTGTCTCCATCGATGCCATTCTGGTTTCGCGCTCTGCTCTTCGGGCCGGGAGCTGAGAACCCGAGTCAGCACGCCATGCAGTTTCAGCCGTACATGCACAGTGCGCCTGGGCCACAGCCAGGCTTCGCGCAGCACGCCCCTTGGGTACAGCAGGGGTACCCGGTGTATGCGTGACAGCAGAACCCGTATGCCACCCAGTGGCAGCCGCCGGGCTATGCTGCAGGCTTCCGAGATGATTTACACGGCCGCTATCCGCGTCGGTTGCCGGGACACTGGAAGTGGGAGTGATTCTGAGACCGATCTGCGTTCGTGAGGCCGTCACCGTAGGATGACGCAACAGCATTGCAGGTGTGTGAGTTTTCATGAATTCACGTTGTATCATGTTGTTATTCCCTGCTCTGCTTTCTCCCCCCTCGCCCCCTCTTGACTAGACGGAGACATGGCATCCCTTTGAAGAGGCTTCGGGGTGAATGAAGCCAGCCAGACCTTCTCCGGGAGGAATGTGTGTGCAGTTTGCTCTTCCTCTCCCTGCCTTTCCCTCCTTTCGCCTCCCTCTCCCCTCCTCTTCCCCCCCTCCCTGACCCAATCCCTAGCCGGAGGGATGGCACTTCTGTTGAGAGGGCTCAGGGCGTCATGAGCTGAGCAGGCTGTTTCATATAGTGCTTTGTTGACACAGGTCCCACCAATATTCTCTCGTGTGCGAGCGGTCTGACAGCATTCAACAGAGAAGGCTTCCGGGCGAACGAAGCCAGTTTCTCTCATGGCGGAGGCTTCCGGGAGAGCGAGGCCATTCTGCCATCAGCGTGTGCATCTTCACATGGATTTGCCTTTTCCCTGCCCTCTCCTCTCGCCTCTTTTCCCTGCCCTCTGCTTTCCCTCCTCTTCTCCCCATCCATGGGTAGAGCCGGTCAGACGGCGCTCGACAATGAGATTGGCCGACGTTCGCAGACAGGATGAATGCATATGTGCATTTGTCACACTTTGTGTCCCATCTCGCTTCTTTCGCTCTCGCTCTCTTTCTTTTCTTATCTAGCGTGCCCGTCGGCATTTCAGAGCTCAGTTGGTTTAGACCGCGGCGCTTAAGGCGTACCAGACACGTCGCACACATGTGGGCTGATTGAGCACAGCGCAGGAAAAGACGGAAAGGACCCCCCCGGAGTTCGTGGCCCTGTAGGCAAACAGGGACGCTCCGCCACTGCAGCCCTGCAGGGGCGGCACGCGCGGCTGCGCCCATGGGGCGGGCTGCTGCTGCGGCTGCTTCGCGAGGGGCGCCGCCAGCGTTGGCGGCGGCGGCGTCTCGGCAAGGGAGGTTTGGAGGCAACTACTGGAAGGTCTTCGCCGGAAGGACTGAAAGGAACTAAGCCCCATTGGGGGGCCGTTACGCCGTTACCCCATTGGGCCTCGGATTAAACGGGATTAAACAGGACGAGCGGGATTAGGTGGGATTCAGCTGGATTAAGCCGGACTAAGCTGGATTTCGGACCTGGGCAAAATCAGAATTTGAACTCCCAGGAGTTGCATCCGAATGGAGGGTGGTGGGGGCGGCAGGACGAGAAAGGTGGGTAGGGATCGACCTGAACAGCGTCTCGTTCCCGTTGTGTGATCGCTTGCCCTCGCTCTGCCTCCCAGCCGCCTCTGTTGCGAAAGAGTATCGAGATGACAACGGCCCACGAGATCGCCCAAACACCGCTGAGTCGACCCCTGGGAAGGGGGGAGGGGCGGCAGGAGGAACTCTCCTCCGCCCTCGGGGATCTACTAACCCGGGGCAGCCCAAATTCGAGTAAAGCAGGCGTTGCAGGATCCTGCAAGACGCTGCAGGATCCTGCACCCAAGCCCGGGTCAGTGCGCCCCTGGCTCTGCAAGATCTTACAAGGTCCGGCGCTCTGTCTGAACCCGCGTTTGCATTGACCTCCGCCCCTTGAGCCCCGGCGCTGCTCCTCCCTCTGGGCCCCGGTCTGGGCCTTCCCTGCTTATCCCATCTGGCGCCACCATCTGATACGAGGCCAGGACAAGGAGAAATGCGGGTGAGGATGAATCTCGGCCTCTCCTTCTCCTCCTCCTCCGCCTCCGCCTCTTCCTCCTCCTCGTCTTCCTCCTCCTCGTCCTCTTCCTCCTCGTCCTCCTCCTCCTCCTCGTCCTCCTTCTCCTCTTCCCTGGCGCCGCCATCTAAGACGAGGCCAGGACGAGGACAAATTCGGATGAGGCTGAATCGCAAATCTCCGAGAACAGGCGGCTCTGCTTGGGCGCCGCGGCCTTCGCAGAATGTACCAAAACGCTCTGAAAGCGTTCGAGAACACTCTGGGACGGATTCGTCCTCGACCTAGCCCCGTCCGGTAATCCCCCGCTGCGGTCGAGCTTTCGCCTGCGTGGCCCAGCTGCGCTCGCCCACTCCGGACTTTGCCCGCGTCAAGATGAGGAGACTGGGGATTTGGAGCTCCTGGGAAGTTCTCGCTCGAACGAAGAAGGGCGATTACGTCCGATTGAATTGCCGTTTTGCTGGACCGAGCCGGATTACACCCAAAACTTGGGACAACAAAAAGAAACGAAGACGAGCCGGATTAGCCCAGATTAAGCTGACGATCGACCGCGAGAATACCAGCGCCGACAAATAATTCAATCTGCGAGGAATTGACTCAGGGGGGGGGGGGCGGGAGGAGTGCGCGCGAAAAGAAGGGATGGATCCCCACGGCAAGGTGGCGCACGACGTGCCACCGACGCCACCCACCGAACCACTCTGACCAATCAGCAGGGCTGGCGGAGGAGGAGGAAGAGGAGGAAAGCAGGACAAAGGGGTACCACGTCTGTTCGCCTGCTCAAGTGACCGACGCCCCACAATTTAAATCCCCTGCGATTTGATGTGTTACAGCCCTGCCTTCTCAGTCGGGCCGGCAAGGGGCATACCACGTAGCTCGAGGACCGAAAACCGAAGTGGCCCCCTAGGAGAACCCCGCTACCTTACATCACGAGTCCCTTCGGGTCAACGCAAGGTGAGCGGATGCTGGCCTTTCCGCGTGCCCTACGGGAGGGGACCCACGGGCTTAGCAGGGCGCCCTAGCCAGGGGGGATGCGACGACGACACGACCTCAAAAGAAGGACATGGGGGGAGACGGAAGCCCGAGACCCCAAACTGCTGCTGGGGGGGGGGGCGGATTATTCTACAATTTGAATTCCGTGCTCCCTTCTCCCGCTCGACTCACTTCTCGGTCGTGCCGGGAGATGTCCCATGGTATTGTCACATCTGCACTCTTGTGCTCTGTTGGAGTAACCCATCGTTCCCCCCCGAATGGTATGCGAGGTAGGGCATACTGTGAGTCACGGTATAAGGTAGGGCCGATGAGGAGGACACTGGTGGGCTTCCTGATGCTCACTATTCTTCCCCTGCGACACCCTGCATTGGTGTACCTGACGGCACTCCAAAACATACTACCCATGTGGATGGCGATGCAGGCGCTCTGTTGTGCCCCTGCTGGCCGCCATGAGTTGCGCTCCGAGAAACCTCGCCAATGCTCCTCCTGACTGTCCGCGGGCAGCGCCAGCTCGCAGCTTGCCTCAAGAAACACTCCGAGAAACCTCGCCAACGCTTCCTCTTGGCGAGTTAGCAGGCTCCAATGGGTGAGCTCACTGGTGGCTGCTGGATGAGCTGGCCGCAATCGTCTCTCCCGACTTGGGGTGACCGAACTTTGCCGCGAAGGTCCCGGTGCCATCCAGCATTGTCGGGGTGCTGCTCCGTAACTTCTGACGCTCCTTCAGACTCATCACTTCCCCCGGGTCCATGTTGTCCCCGTTGTTAAGCTCCTCAATGGCAATCTTTATTACTTGGTGGAGGTTCTCTTCGTCGTCTTTCGCGATCTTCAGCGCCAGCCCGCGCCGGCTCTGTGCAGCGAAGGCTCTCCCCCCCAGGCCCTCCTCCTTGACCTCTCCCACTGGTCCACCGGGTACCCCGCGACGAGGTCGCAATCTTCGAAGTTGCGCGTCGTCGGAGAGGATAGCGGGACCAGCTCGAACAGCGCCTCTGGGCTCGTAGGAGAACGGGCGGCGGCGCTCCATGATGGCGTCGCCCAATTGCTGCGGAAGCCTGTCGGCAATAAACGCTTGCCACGTGGCTCCCATCGGGAGCTCCACCGACATCCGCGGCCCACTCTTGAACGGGAGAAACTTGGGCCCGCGCCGAATATGTGGGCATTTTTCGCTGTCTGCTCCAAACGCGTTCTTCAACTTGCCCATCCATTCCTTCCAGAGCACGCCCTCTGGGTGACTCTCCTGCGCCTTCGCAGGCTGCAACCAGCCCACCTTGCATTATCGCTGCCACTTGCCACTTCTCGACTTGGGGCTGGGGCCGCTCCGCCACAGCTTGTTCGGACAGGCGGGCCCGCGCGAGCAGGCGCCCCCCCTCTTTCCGCCCCGTCCAGCGCCCCTCCTGCATGTGTTGAACAGCTGAGCCTAGCGCCTTGAAGAACATTGGCTGATTCTTACCGTTGTCCGTCGTCGTCTTGTAGTCGCCCATATCGTGCAGCTCTGTCTCTTGCTCCTCCAACGCTTGCGCTGCCACCTTCAGCGCATCTTCGCCATTGAAATCTATGGACATGCACTTGTTGGGTAGGATGTCGTATTCTTCTGCGCAGCGACGACCCTCTCTCATCATCTCCCCTGCTTTGCTAAAGGCGGCGCATATACCTCCATTCATGTGGATACCCTCCAAAAAACGCATGTGCCATCTCCTGTGGCCTTTCCATGCCGGCCGTGTTCCTCTGCGTGCGAGGTTCGGCCGTCTTCTTCTGCCTGTTGCACGTGAGCAGCTTTGATGCGTCCTAGCGCCCGGGCCGCCCACTCCGCTCCTTTGCCTTTCTCTTTTGTTCTCGGCAGACCTGCTCTCTCGAAATATACATTTCTCCCCCGTGCGGCATCCTTTCTTCGTCGCCCCGGTCTGCCCACCCCTCCACCCTCTGCTCCATCTCGCAACCGAGGCGCACTCGCTTCCATTCACTGCCTTTGCCGCCTTGGTCCCTTTCGTGACATGGCTCGCTCCTCGCGTGCTCTCTGCAGCTCTCGATCATGTTGAAGTACCGGAACCCCTTGTTGCAGCTCCCGCAGGGCCATAGCTGGCAGCTGGCCGAAAGGGCCATGGCCCACGCTTGCGACGCACTCCGAGAAACCCCGCAAGTGCGCCACACTGCACACCTAGGCCCGCGTTGAGCCAGATCCGCTGCGGCACCCGTGCACGCGCGATGGAGATAGCAGCGCATCCCCAACTGTCTTGTCATACGCGTAGTACCTCGTATATGCTGGTCCCATCTCCCCCCATTGAGGTAATAACAAATTCCCAACTGCCCTGTTGAACTCGCAGTACCCCGCACAAAAGCACCTCTCACCACCATTGACCGAGACCCGTCAAAATTGTGCGCATGCTACGCTGTATGCAACGTGCCCCGCCAACCATCTCTGCGCATCCGCAACGGAAAGGGGGAGGGAGAAACGTATCGTGTCGTCTTTGTAGATGGCGCCATTTGCTGACTGGGAAGTGTAGGCTGGTTGCTGCCAGGCAGAACTTTCCCCGGCGCGTCTCTGTAGCTCAGCGCCCCGTTCTTCTCGGGACTCCCGCGCCATGTTGTATATCCTGCCACTCGGGGAACAACGTCTGAGGTTGGTGAGGCGCTCTACATCTACGCTGATCGATTCTACTCTTCTTTCATGATCTGTGTCTGCTCTTCTTTCTGAGGTATACATTCCTCCTCGTCTGTGCGCTGCTGGGCACGCCAGCCTTGCCCAACTGCACAAGTGGGGAGGGGGCCTGAGGCGGTGCCCTCAATGCATGATGATGACGCCGTCGGTGGCGCGGTGCACGTGCTTGTCCGCGTCAGCCGCGGCCTGGCACTCTGCCCTGGGGTCTTTGCACTGCGAAAAGACCTCGCTAATGCTACTGCACATTCTGACCTCTGTGGTGCAGCACTCCGGGGAAACCTCGCCAGTGCCAACACTTTCTCCTCTCTCAGCGGCGCCGGCGATGAAGTTCCCAGTCCACCACCCTCTCTAGCTCTGGCTTGGGCGCCGCCGACTGAGACTTCTTGCCTCCCATGTAGACGATGCGCCCCCCCATCGCCACCCTCGGGCTGTGGCCTGAGAACTGGTCCAACTTCGCCATGGCGTCTTCCCTCGCGTCCTTCGTGACCACCGCCCTGAAGTTTGGGGCCTCGTTGGTGCTGATCTGGGTCTTGCCCAAACTCTCCTCCGAAAAACTACTGCTCGCCCTCGTTCGGTTTCCAGTGCTTGCTGTTGCGCGCCTCGTAGCTCTCGCTGAC